AGAGTAGCAGTCCCCCCCCCCCCCCTGCCACTCAGTGGAGGCGAGGCCGAGTCCACGCTCAAAAACACTTGCGCTGTCTTTAACGGGAAGAGGGTCTTTTCGGAGACAAGCACCACTACCGTCGATTTGAAGCTTAACCTTTCATCAACCTCCAATACTGTCTCTGCTGACGTGGCCAAAGACAACGCAACTGCGGCTAACTCCACTGCACCACCTCCTTCTCCAGCTCGTGCCAACGACCCAGCAAAGCCACCCGCAAAGTTAGTTTTTCCTCCTTCATGCTTTTATTACTTCCTAGTTCCTATACATGTTTCTCTATGCTTTTAATATTCCATGATTATGTTTAATGCATCCATGCTACCTGATAATTAGTTATCGCGCCAAACTGTCTGATCATGTGCTAGTTTTATGATCCATGTAAAATAGCCAAATAAATGTAGTTTTTGATCTCTGCCTCTCAACGTTGTAATTAACTTGTAATTAATACTCACAAGAATTGAGATAGAAAAGAATAAAGGGTCATGTCCCGGCCAGTTTCAATCATGAGATCTTAGTTTAGAAGGTAATTAATCTTTGACCAAAGGAAAATTAAGGGTCCTCGATCCCTTTGAATTTATGATACCAATAGGGTACTTTCAAGTTTGCTGGCTAGTAGTTAAATAATGAAAAAAATTAAGGGTAAGAAGTTGATATATATATTCCAAATAGGCATTCTAAATGATGTATTATGAACTGCAAACGCTTCTAATTGATTTGTGAATTGGAGTAACGGCTAAAAGTAAAAAAGAGAATTAATTCGGAATTGAAGGAGAAAAGGAAAGTGTCGTGGAGATTTTAAGCAAGAAAAAGTAAGGAGTGATGGAGGATGAGTATTGAGATAAACAAGTTTGGTTTTGCGGATGGCATGCTTCGTTGTCGGGTAGACAGTGGAAAAGGACAAGACACATGGAATCTTACTTTTTCTCAACCACCCAACAATTCCTCACACTCAAACCAAAAAGGAAAAGGATAGTCCACGCCCCTGTCCCATCACTCCAACATTATTATTATTATACTAATTATACCAATTCAAAAACAATCAATACATAATCTTTTTTATTATTAACTTATAAACCAGACCCAGACGCCTCGTAACAATTATTTCCGTGCCTTGACCGTGTAATTAATGAGTTAATTAAGTTTCAGGGCACAAGTGGTGGGTTGGCCACCAGTGAGGTCATTCAGAAAGAACATTGTGAGTAACGTTCAAAGGAGTAACAAGAAGGAGGAGGGTGAAAAAGGGGCGAGCACAAGTGGCAGCAACAACGGTGCAGCTTTCGTGAAAGTGAGCATGGATGGTGCTCCCTATCTACGCAAGGTGGATTTGAAGATGTACAAGAGCTACCAAGAGCTCTCGGATGCACTGGCTAAAATGTTCAGTTCCTTCACCACCATTGACAAATGTGGATCCCAAGGCATGAAGGACTTCATGAATGAGACCAAATTGATTGATCTTCTCAACGGCTCTGATTATGTCCCAACTTATGAAGACAAAGACGGAGACTGGATGCTCGTCGGTGACGTACCCTGGGAGTCAGTCTTCATCATTAATTTCATATTCTAATTTCTATCACATATATATATTTTAATTAATCATTAATATTAATTACTAACTACGATACATATATATATATGATTTTAATTTCACAGAATGTTCGTCGAATCATGCAAGCGCCTGCGCATAATGAAAGGATCTGAGGCTATCGGGCTAGGTTAGCCATCTAAATTATGCTACCTTCAAATTTTAACCACAAAACATCTTATCTTAATTTTAATTAATGTGTATTGACCCTGAGCTTGTTATTATTATTATTATTATTTTTTATTTACAGCACCAAGAGCCGTGGAAAAGTGCAAGAGCAGAAGTTGAAGTTAATTAAATTTGGAGTTTGTACATTCCATGTTAGACAACAATGAATATGCTCTTGGGCGTCCATGGGAAGCATTAATGCTATTTTCTCCAGCAAGGGGTTGTCTAAGTCTAGTATAGGAGCCGAGTTAATTATATAATGTGTCGGTACCATTTTTTAAAAATAATTTTCTTGTATATCCTATGTTATATGTATATGAGAAAATAGTTGGACATTAGGGGCAAGAAATAATGGAGTATGTTTATATGAGCCCGTTTTTGTTTCTAAGTACAAAAGTGAAACGGTTGTCTATCGTTGGTGTACGTACGTGCTTGTCTAATAAGAATAATGTCTACGTTGATTGCTGTACGCATACCCTATACGTTAGCATGTATTAATTAATTACGCAACGTGCTATTTTCTGTCACAAACATGAAACATTAATATTATTAGCAAGTAGGATTAGGTTTTGTTTGGCATGCATATGGTTGTGGAAGGAAATACATAGTGATAAGGTGGGCCAGAATGGATCATGTGCTTCGTGCAACAGCCTCTCATTAAGGGCTCCACTAATTTAATTCACATGTTCCCACTTTCTATCCCGTGGCTTTCCTTCCCTGTCTAATATCGCACTGTCTCTTCCATTCAAAGGGCACAACTATTTACTTATGAAATTACATTTGAGGACTATTAATTGTTATATGAAACTTCTTTTAATTCCTAGGTAGCTGGGAGAATTTGAAAATACTTTCAAGCTCTAAACGAGTAAATTCATTTTTCTTCATCATTTTCACAAACATGGCCTAGCTAAAAAATTTCATTTACAAAACTTATTTTAGAAAATTTAAACTCCCTAAGGAACACGTGGTGATGGAGTAATTGTTTAACTATCAAAGGTACAGGGTGGAAAAAGAAATTTCAGGTGAATGCGACGTAAAGTAGAACTCAGGATAAGGATAATGGTCTAACCTTGTAAAACAATGGAAGCATGCATTATAAAGTTAGCTAGATGATTTGGATGGAGTCCAGCTTAGCTAAGTAGGAGTCTCACGCTTTCTTTTTCGCGCATGTACAATAATGGTGTTAACTAGATACTTACTTCACCAACTATTTATTAAATTAAGATGAATAATTTTAAACAAGGATATTTTAATAAAAAATATAAAAATATTTTTAAATAATTCTTATAAAAGATCAAACATCACTTTTGGATTAGGTCAGTTTTTTAAAAGTAAAATAAATTTAGGATAAATTTAATGTTATTAACAAAAGTTAATCAACTTTATCATTGAGTTTGTGAATTATCTAATGTAGAATTTTTCTAACATAACTAAATATTTTGAGTTTAGGTTATGAGTATGCAAATACATTAAATAATTAGAGATAAAGTTTGATCCCTTGTAATGGTTTTATTTGTCTCTAGTAGAAATGTTTATGATAAAAAGGATCGAAAGGAATAGTATCCAAACTTTTCACTTTACCTTGTATAATATTTAGTTAAACAGAAATGAATAAGAAAATAATTTTTATACTCTCTTTTATCTGGTTCAAATATTTGGAAAAAGAAATGGGTATAAGATTTTGACTCTAGTAGAAATGTTTATGAGAAATGAATAATAAAATAACTTTTTTATTTTATTTTTTATATGTATATCTAATTTCATTTATAATAAGTATTTTTTTTTTGCTTTTTTCTTAAGAAGCAATTCCTATCTACTTAAAAAAAACTAATTTAAAAACATTAGTTCATAAATACTTTTTAAGTTTAAATAAATGCATCATAATTTCTATTAAAAAAATTAAGCAAAATTGATTTTTCATTTACTTATGCATTTCTTTTCATGATGGACTTTCATATATAACTCTTCATGACATTATTTTATTGTTAAATTTTCTATAAATGAATATACAAATAAACAAGATTCACTATTTGTAAAATGCGATGTGATGAAACTTGCAAGTCGGCCATAATAAAGTTTAGAGAAGTAATCAGAAGTCAGTAAGTATGTTTTCAATTATTATAAAAATCAATATATATTATATTTATATACATATATATTAATTTGTGAATGAATAATAATTGATATATTATTGGTGTAAAAATATAAATCATATATTATTTATTAAAAAATAATAATAAACAAGCAAATACTATTGCTTTTATTCGAAAAGCATTATATAAAAAATAATACAATAATATTATTTTGTAAAAAAAATAAACTTATTCTGAATTGATTGATTGTTGGGCAGAAAGTATTTTTTTTTTCTGTCAAAAATAAATGTGACTAAGTTCTAGTTAAACAAGAATTAGTTCTATAATCAATCTAAATAATTATAGTTTAAGAGATATTTTAACCAAGAAGCCGAAAGCCCTAATTATAACAGTTAAAAATGTGACGAGTGATATATCATATCCTTTTTATATATGAACACTAATAGAATTTGTAGAAAAGCCTTTAATAGCTTTAATAATTCCCTTTCACTCTCGCTCAAATAAAATGCAATGAATTCAAAAAATTTAATAAGTGAAATTATGTTCAAATATATAAAAGATATTGAGTTCAAATTTTGTGAATAAAAAATATAATTAATAGAAAATCATATTAAACGTAATCATTTACAGAATTAATAAATATTTACGCCAGTAATTTGATAACAAATTATGTCCAAAAATTTAATCGAAGCGTGTTAATCTTTGTCTGATTGTTGACCAAGTACCGGTGTAAGTTGTCATGCATAACTTTTTAATGAAGTAACTTTCTATTCCTTATTTATTATTTTTTTTTATAATTTTTGAATGAAGTAATTTTCTATTCCTTATTTTATTTTGATTTTTGAATTGTTAAAAATTTAAAATACAAAATATATTAATTAGTTGCAAATATGTTTAAATATAAAATAAGAGAATACGAGTAAAAATAAATTAAATCATATACAAAATACACAAATCCTTTCATTAATTAAATAATATATATACAAAGAATTATTTTAAAAAATAGATAATGTTTTAAAATATGAAAAATTAGTACTTGTTAATAAGTAAGAAATAAAAGAAATTAGAATAACTTTCTTTGAATTTAACAATTTTGTATGCTGCACGAATACATTAGAAAATACGAATTCTTAAGCAAAAAAAAAATATATAGTAAAAACTGTCCTCATATTCACTATTGTGTGTGTGTGTGTGTTTTTTTTTACCTTATGAGATAAAAATAAATTAAATAAAATACTGAAAAATTAAAAAAATTATGAAAATAAATTGTGCAAATAATCACTTGTCATTTTATATGGATTAAGCATATTTTTAATCCATAATTTTTATTTATCAATTTTCACTTTTAGTTCCTAAATAAATTTTATTTAATTTTAGTCTATTTATTTTTCCTCCAAAGACAAAAAGAAATGTTAATGAGAAGAAAAGTTTAAAAACCAAAAGTGAAAATCAACAAAAATAAAAATTAAAAATAAAACTAGTAAAAAAATTGTTCAAAGATTAAAAATAAAAATAAAAAGTTCAAAAACTAAAACATATTTAATCTTTTTTATATTGAGTTTAATAGACATATGCTAGCAATACAGAGATTTTTATACCAATATAACTTTTAAAGTTAGTTATTTTAATTGGTAACAAACTTTTATTATATAGCAATGCAATTAAATGGTAATATAGAAAAAGTGGTTACGTTTTAAAAATCGGACCGGTCATCAAGCTGGTTAGGGTACTGGATCAGTGGGTTAAAAGTCAGACTGGTGGATCACTAATTGAACCGCATGACCCGATTTTTATTAAATTTTTTTTTAAAATGTTAAATATATTTTATACTTATAAATTTCAATAAATTCATATCCTATTTTAAATTTTAATTTCCATCTTATTTAAAATTATCTTTATTTTTATTTTAGATAAAGAAATATATAAAAAAATATTACGTGTTAAACTTTATATTAATACAAATTAAAAATATAAATAATATGTACATATATAATATGTTTGCAATTAATATTATAAAATAATATATGTAATATCTATATAGATATTATATTAATAAATATATAATTTAAATTTAATAATATATTATAAAAGTTATTTAAGTTGCATATATTACAAACAAATACATTAAAATAAGTAGTCATTCTTATGTTTAATATAATACTCTTTACTTTTCCATTAACATATTTAATTCTTATTGTTATTTTTGGGGTTTGTGATCCCTTAAAAAAATAAAAATAAAAATTGTGGTTGAACCGGTTTAACCTACCAGTTCATTGGTCAAACCAGAAAATTAACTGGTTTAATTCAGTTTGAAACGGATCGACATAACCAATTTAACTTAAAATTCGGACCGGATGGACCACCGGTTCCCAATTTAACCAGTCGAATCTGGTTTTTAAAACATTGGTTACACGTACTATAACTGCGTGAACTGTTTTTTCTTTCTTATCTTTTAAATATTAATGTAGTTATCGAAATTCAAATTCAAGCCATGCAACTCGAAAAAGTTATTACTTTTATGTTTAAAACTAAAGTTCAGTGTATTTAGGGTCCTTAGGGATTAATTGGGTTTTAAATTGAGCTAATCTTATAACTTTTTCCCCTCTAATAAATTAACATATATAAACATAGTATAATTTGCAAAACCAAATTTTATAAAGTAAAACGATAAGAGAGAAAGCAGAGAAACATAGTTCATTAAATGAGTGGTGAGGTCGAGAAAAAACAGAAAAAATAAATTCTAGAAATATTATAAAAATTCAAAGTTTAGTTTTCATACATATTATAAGAATTTTATATGAATAACTAATCAGAAATTATTTTAAATAAGACTTTTAAAGTAATTATTATTAAAGTAAAAAAAAATATATAACCATTTTTTTTATAAAAACTATATATATAATTATTAGGATACAAATAAAATCTCACATCATTTAAAAAAAAAGTGAACATAAGTTTATGTATATACAATTATTTCCATTAATTTATGTAAAACTTTTATTTTATAATATATATAAATATATATTAATAAGATATTAAAGAGGTGTTGATATATGATAATTTCTTATGTCTAAAAATCATAAATCATGATAATTATAAAAAATTATTTAGTTGATCATAAATTTTGTGAGAATGTTTTTTATACTAAACATTGATTAAATGGCAGTAGATATTAGAAAAATAAAATTTTAATTTTATTAAAAAAAAATACCATCTATATGTTTAAAAAAAAAAAAAGAATTGTAGCAAGTTGTCTTTAAAGATACAGATGGAGAGAGGGGTTTGTGATTAAATCATAAAACTTATTGGCTGCAGACAGATCTTCCAAGATTGGATCGTTGTCTCATCCTCAAACCATTAGCCGCCTCATTTCTCATCTTATTTTACTCCTCTACGTAACTTCCTTCAATTCTCGAATTTTTTACCAAAATATTATTTTGAAAAAAAAATTACAAGATTAACAACTGTACAGGTTTATTTCTCACACTAGAACCATTTATTGTGAATGCTCAGAATTCGGTTCTTGGGGAACCGAATTCTGAGCTTCAAAATGTAATTTTTTTTGTTTTTTCAACTCAGAATTCGATTCCCGAGAAACCGAATTCTGAGTTGGTTTTATATTTTTTTTTCGTGTTTGTGGGGAAAATTTGGGCAGATTTTGGAAGTGGAACGGCCCGTTCCGAAATCAGAACGGGTCGTTCCGCTTAAGGCCACAGAGTGAATTTTTTGAAATTGAAACGGGCCAAGTACGGGCTGTTCCAGAGTTAAGAACGACCCGTTCTTGGCCCGTTTCAATTTCAAAAAATTCACTCTGTGGCTTTAAGCAGAACGACCCGTTCTGCTCTTGGAACGGGCCGTTCCACTTCCAAAATCTGCCCAACTTTCCCCACAAACACGAAAAAAAAAAATATATAAAACTAACTCAGAATTCGGTTCCCCGGAAACCGAATTCTAAGTTGAAAAAACAAAAAAAATTACACTTTGAAGCTCAGAATTCGGTTCCTTGGGAACCGAATTCTGAGCATGCACAGTAAATGATTCTAGTGTGGTAAATAAACATGCACAGTTGTTAATCTTGTAATTTTAAAAAAAAAAATAATATTTTGGTAAAATATTCTCAATTCTCTGCCATTTTTTTATGTGATAAACATACAGTATTATACACAAAACCATTATGCATTCTTAAATTCTCATATACACGTATAGCAAAAAGATGTTAATTAGTTTTAGAAACTAAAATTAAAATATTTTTAAAAAATAAAAAAAGTATAATAAAAAATGATTTATTTAGAAGAGTTTTGTATAGCCGCCGGGGACACGTGTTGTGTGGTAACATAAATGCATGGGAGAGACGGTGACTTGGTAAGAATGATAGATATAATTAGCGAGGCAAAGTTGGAAAAAAAATGAATAATTAATCAGAAATTATTTTAAATAAGACTTTTAAAGTAATTATTATATATTAAAGTAAAAAATTGTATGTAACTAATTTTCTTATAAGCATTGTATATGTAACTATTAGCATACATTTTCATTAATCTTATAAAAGAAATTGTCTTAATAATATCATAATAATTGGTTAAGATACCGAAAAAAAAAACAAATATATAATTTTTTTTAGAAATAGTTGATATTATTTTCTAATTAAAATAAAAGTTTTACTTTGATAATATATAGAAATATATAATGATAAGATATATTAAAGAGATATTTGATATATAACAAAATTTTCTTATTGTCTAAAAATCATAAATCATGATAATCATAAAAAAAAAAACTATTTAGTTGATGATAAATTTTGTGAGAATGTTTTTTATACTAAACATTTCTTAAATGGCAGTAGATATTAGCAAAATAAAATTATAATTATAATTAAAAAAATACCATCTATATGTTTTTTAAAAAAATTGTAGCAAATTCTGTGTTTAAAAATATAGATGGAGAGAGGGGTTTGTGATATATTAAATCATAAAGCTTATTGGCTGGAGACAGATCTTCCAAGATTGGATCGCTGACTCATCCTCAAACCATTAGCCGCCTTATTTCTTATCTTATTTTACTCCCTCTACGTAAGTTCCTTCAATTCTCTGCCATTTTTTAATGATAAACATACAGTATTATACATAAAACCATTATGCATTCTTAAATTATCGTATACACGTATAGCAAAAAGATGTTAATTAGTTTCAGAAACTAAAATTAAAATATTAAAAAAAAAATAAAAAAAAAGTATAATAAAAAATGATTTATTTAGAAGAGCAGCCGGGAACATGTGCTGTGTGGTAACATAAATGCATGGGAGAGATCAGAGACGGTGAGTTGGTAAGAATGATAGATATAAATAGCGAGGCAAAGTTGGAAAAAAGATGTTGAAGTTTGAGACATGGGAAAATTGGGGTTAGGCCTTGTGGTATTGCTATGTTTGATAGCGACGGCGATCGCCGAACAATGCGGTAGTCAAGCCGGTGGGAAGACATGCCCCAACAACCTCTGCTGCAGCCAGTACGGGTGGTGCGGCAACGCCGAAGATTACTGTTCTCCCTCCAAGAACTGCCAAAGCAATTGCTGGGGCGGTGGCGGTGAAAGCGCTTCGAACGTGCGCGCCACTTATCACTACTACCAACCGGAGCTGCACGGGTGGGACTTGAACGCCGTGAGCGCTTATTGCTCCACTTGGGACGCTGGGAAGCCTTACTCGTGGCGCAGCAAATATGGGTGGACCGCTTTCTGTGGGCCCGTTGGGCCTCGCGGGCAGGCCTCGTGCGGAAAGTGCCTGCGGGTCACCAACACGGGCACGGGAGCCCAGACCACTGTGAGGATCGTTGATCAGTGCAGCAACGGAGGCTTGGATTTGGACGTCGGAGTTTTCAACCGTTTGGATACCGATGGGAGAGGTTACCAACAGGGTCATCTCATTGTTAACTATCAGTTTGTGGATTGTGGGAATGAGATCGACCGCACCCAACCATTACTCTCCATTCTCGATGCTCCTTAATCACATCAATATGTAATAATCGTCCAACCAATAATTACTTGGGGATTTTGTTATCCTTAATCACATCAATGTCCACCTTTTATTTTTTTTTTCTTCTTCTTTTCTTACTCTCTCTTCTCACTCTATTACTGCAAACTCTATTACTATTTATCAAAGATTGCACAAAAAGTATACTCTCATATCTCTCCAAAAACCAGGTTTTAAATTATGCTTATTACACATCTAGGTATGATAGATTGGGGACACTTGTTTTCACTATCAATTTATACATACATAATTTTTTTTAATAATAAATAATATATTTTAAAAAATAAAATTATATTTTAATAAATAAATAAATAAATAAATATATATATATTTATAAATTATCATATGTATAAAATATAAATTCAGAAAAATTATTTATTTATTTAATATTTTTAACAAAACCATAAATAAAATTTGCAGCATGCATTTTTTCTTTTGTGCTTTCTATTTATATTGTATACGTTGATTAAAAAAATCAAAATAGTAAAGATTGTAAGATTGTATTGTTGATAAAAAGAAATCAAAATAAGAAATATTAGAAGATTTATGTTCTATTTTAAATTTTTATTATAAAATATATTTTAAAATAAATTATCATTTAAAAATTTATATAAATTATTAAAAACATGTTTATATCATAAATAAATTAAACTTGTTTTTATAAAATTTAACATATTTATTTTATGATTTTATTAGTGTTAAATTATTATAAAATAGATCTTTAAGATTGTAGTTCTAATTAAATATTTTAAAAAATATTATAATAAATAAATATATCATATTTAAGACGTATATTTTTAAATAAAATAAAGTTCAAATTTATTAAATTATCATAGTCTAATCTAATTTTCATCTTTAACTATTATTATAAATATAAAAACTTATAAAAAATAATTATAATATATTTATACTTTTAAAAGTTATGTAAATTTTTTTTATATTATAAATATATTATGTCCACTATATAAATTTTTTGAATCCATTAGATGTTCACAAAACTTACCGCTACGGAGACTATAAATTTTAAGAAGAGGAGGTGGTGGATTATTACTCCACGCTATGTAATGGATAATCATTTATTGACTTTGACTTAGCCTTGTTAGGTCCCTGAATGCAAAATTTTCAACTTTAATTAATTTAATTGATAAAAACAGTGAATTAAATTGTTTGACATTTCTGGTTTTTATTTGAGGGGCAAGAACAGGGGATAGGGGATTTAACCTTAACTCTTTACCAAGAATATAACTTGCGACACTGTATAATGATACGTGTTATTGAATTATTAACAAAATGCTATTAAATTATTCTAAATGATCTCTTATAGAACTATATAGAGTATTATATTTGGGATATCTTATAATTTTTCTGCTTAAGAGTTGGGTAAGTAATAAATGAATTGTGCTTATTCTACGAAACACAGATCCGATTATAAGAAAGTGATTTGTGAAACAAAAATTAATGACATTATTTCGTGTGGTGAAATTAGCCTTAAACAATCAGAGGAAGAGGAAATATTGATGTGTACGTGGAATTTAATTTAGATAATACATCTTTCAAGATTTGAGTCTTCTAGAAGATTAACCTATACCCCTTTTTTGCCAAGTACTGGATCATCAACAAAGATTTGAGTTAAGTATTATATTGAGAAAATATTAGAATGAGTATTTACAAAGTTTATTTATATTTACAAAAATATTTATAAATTATATATATAGAGAGAGGGTCACTTAAATAATCATAAACTCTAAACTGTAAATAATTATAACAATATTTCTACGTTAATTTAAATTAATAAAATGAAGTATCAAATAACTTTCAAATTTTTAAAAATTTTGTAAATTAAATTTATATATCAAGAATTTTTAATTTAACGGTTGGATCGTTAAAAAAATAATATAAATTATAAATTATTAAGTGAAATAAATTTAAATATACATACGAACCATTATATATATATATATATATATATACTCACATAATTTTTAATAAATTTATTGATAAAATTTTCTAAAACAAAATTTATTTTTTTCAATAGATTTTATGACAAAGTTTATACTACATATTTTTCCTGAAATAAAAAATATTAAAATATTTAATTAAATTATTTCAAATGCATTGTCATACGTTTTAAGATAAAAAAAATCCCAACTGCGATATTGGCCTTAAAGTGTCATTATCTCTTAATTTCATTTGTTAACTAAAACTCAAACTGGAAAAAAAAAAAAAACTAAAACTCCAGTTAAATATACAATTATATAAAATATTAAAGGGATTAACTCCAACGAAGAATACCTGTGACAGTAATATATATAAAATAAAAATAAAAATCAAGCTCTAGTCCACACTAGGTTTGTTTTTAGCTAGCTTGTAGATAGCTATGGAATTATGGTGACTTTTAACATTTTTAAAGTTCAATTAAATTCTATAAATACTATTTTGTGATCTCGTAAGGTAATATATATATATATATATATTCTTTTAACATAATCTTATATCAATGAAATATCAAATTATTTTAGATTAATATAAAATTTTACAATATGATATAAGATTAAAGAATTTTTAATTTAATAATAAAATTTAAAAAATAATTATTTAATTAAAAACTATTAAATAATATAATAGTTAATAAAAGTTATACCAGCGTTATTTAATATCTCTCACTACATGTATAAATAAATAGATAAATAATAACTGCAACTCTCTATTATTAATGCGTAAATACAAAAATTTAAACTGATTTCACTCTTTTACTATTATAACTACCATAATAATCTGTTATTTATTTTATATCTTATTATTTATTTAAATAAAATACAGAGACATAAAACACTCAACATTATGTTATAACGTGAAAAATGAAAATTTATTTTTAAAACGATGTTTAGGATGCGGAGAAACGAAAAATAACCAAATGGAAGAGGTTATAAATTCAATGGAATGATGGATGGCTGATGAAAATTTGTTTATGGCGCATCTGGTTGCGAAATTTTCGGGGATGAACAAATCAACATTCCGTTTCGGTCTAAACAACCAAACGTGAGAAAAAAGTAAAAGAAAAGTATATATA